GAGAGAGAGAGAGAGAGAGAGAGAGAGAGAGAGAGAGAGAGAGAGAGAGAGAGAGAGAGAGAGAGAGAGAGAGAATCAAACAGCGCCCCTTCCATGCCGCAACCATTCGGCTTATAACTTTATTATTATGTTTCTTCCTTGCTGACTGTTGTGTTCAACCTTATTTTACAAAGTGCTCTCTCTCTCTCTCTCTCTGTAGTTCAACCTTGTTTTTAAGGTGCTCTCTACACACACACACACACACACACACACACACACACACACACACACACACACACACATTTGCACACCTGCCTGACAGGGGCATAATACAACGATTTCGGGCCAAAAGGGCATTCCGCTCTACCAACATCTTTCAGGGGCATTGTGGCATTTATCACAACTTATGGGTGTATTTCACAAATTATCCCTCTTTTAATGTTTTAGTAATCTGCACTAATTTCACTATTGTTTGTTTTTTGGTAAAGAATTTTGATATGACCCTGATGCAAAAGTTGTGCAGTCTACTTTTCTGCATAACATCTTCTTTCCAGAATTTTTTTTTTTATTTTTTTTTTTTTGGCTTGGAACTTCTCCTTGCACGGCCATGCAGCCCAGGCAAACAAGGTGACCTGCGCAGTAGCCTAGTCTTCATACATATATCCCAGCGTATTGCACCCCCGCCCCCCCCCCACCAAAAAAAAAAATAAAAAAATATTCACCTTCATTAAGAAGTTTCTCACAATCTCCGTCTCCCCATTCATCAAGAACGCAAGCGCCGATGGGACAAAGTCCCGAACAAAGACCTGCAAGTTCCCACGCCAACATGGTGCCAAACCTGTTAGGTAATTGGAAGCTTTGTCTGGAAACAAAAAAAAAGACAGTTCACACTGGCAGGAGAGCACACGTCGTTTAATAAGTTCATTACCTCCGTTACTTTTTTTCTTTTTTTTTTTGTGTGTGTGTGTGTGTCCGTGTGTGTGTGCGTTGTGTGAGTGGTCATGGCTCCATTCAGTTCTGGGGACCAGACGACAGTCCTATATCCACATGTCTATATGCACATCAAACATTCATCATAGCCAAGCCTATGGGACTGACCTGAGTTCGAATCCTGAAGTACGGACATCGGACACACATCTCTGTCCAGACATAAAACTTCGAAATTTGAATCCTTCCTTTTTCTGTTTTGCATCTCACCGCATACTCACACTAGGACCTTTTCAATTATTTCTGGGTGCAATTGCGGTCGGAGACATCACAGTACGTCCGTAACTATGGTCAGATACATTCACAAGAGCGGAAGTGTGAGTTCGCCCAACCCGATGGGTCCCAAGTTCCCAACAGATGTAGAAAACCCATACAGTCATCTCCCGACGTCAGATGTTAAAACCTCATCACTCCTTTCTTTTCTTACAAAAAAAAAAAAAGAGAAAAAAAACTTTTCATCCTACACAGCACTTGCATCAACTATGTGATGCCGGACAAATTGAGATACCGGGGACAAATTGCATCTCTTTTCGGCTTGAGGGTATCCTCTACACATGTTATAATTTGCTCCAAGTTCCCAAAGCTATGCACATTATTCATGACTGCGCTACCTGTTTTTAATTTATCACAAGCTAATATATAAGTAAATCTTGTAGATGCTGTTTGATGTTGGGGTTGGGTAGATCCAGAGTACCAACGTACTAGGGCAATCCAAGAAAACACTGTTTAGTTAACTTTAATAACATAAACGGATTATTACGTGTTACGCGGACATACTACGCCTGCTCTTTGTTCGTCGGACGAATGATGCACACATGTTCTAGTGAAGATTCATTCACATTTCACTCCACTACTCTCCTCCACATCGACAAAAGGCAAAAAAAATAAGGCCGTGTATATTCCCATGTTCTAGTGCAGATTCATTCTTACACGTCAGCAAATGCCGTGCCGTGCAACGAGGCTCTTTATTGTTCCTTTCCCTCATTGCAACATTACATCCACAAGGTAATTATGACACATCGGGCCTCGCTCCTCTACTTGTCATTCTGAATGTATCTAGAATGCAATCCGGACTAGTACAGCATGATGAATGAATGCATCCGGACTCATACCCGCTGCAGATACATTTCGAATGTTGGGCAGTGCAGCGAGGCTCGTTATTGTTCCTTTCACCCATTGCAACATTACATCCCCTTCTAACCCCACTACAACAAAACAGTATTTAAAAAAAAAAAAAAAACGCAGCATAGAAAACAACTCTCCAACCCGCTCCTGACGTCAGCCACATATCATTTTCTGAAATTCTTTTCCTCTTTCTTTTCCCTTTTCTTTTCCTTCACCCAACTTCAGCAGAGTAACGACATACACCGTCCGTTCATCGCATATGACCGGGGCCAGGACACGGACCAATCTGTCCTCATCATTTGTGCAGACAGTGCCAGACACTCATCCACCATCTCCTGTCAGAGCAAAATCCAGCCGTGCGTCTGGCATACGGACTCTGAGGATCGATAGAGACGCTTCGTCTAGCGAGTGCTGTTGCCTGCTGATTTACTCTTATCCAACCTATGTCACATGTGTGGGCCCACCAGTGGGCCAATTCTCTTAATTTGCTTTTCCCCCTCTGTCATCTGTGCCTCCAGGCCATAAAGAAAACACGATACGCAGAGACAGAGGGATACATCACGGCGGAATTTAAAGCATACAACTCGTTCTCTTCTCTTCTCTTCTGAGGAGAAAAATAGCACTCTGTCATTCATTTCACTTTTTGAAGTTTTTGTTTCACTTGCCGCTCTTGTAATTGGGAGGATTCCGCGCCTATTCTTCTGCGTTGTGCAGGGATTCGATCTCATTCGATCCCACAACCAGCTCATCACTAGAGCACCACATCAATATGCACACGTAGACAAGTACCGACCACTACATGAACCTCGTTCCCCAGGCGATGTCCCACCGGACCGGCGCTGCCTTTTGGGGTTTTCTGAGGGGCCGATTCACTCTGCGAGTCTGCATAGATTGACTGAACGCAGAGACCCTTGAACTTTCGGTGATCGTGTTATATAAATTTGAATTGAGTTGTTTGGCAGGTCGCAGGTCGCCACACTGTGACAATATTCCAACAGGGCACACATCTCACTTCCCTCCCTCTAGGCCTCATAACTCCCACCTCCCACATCTGGAAGCAACTAAACCAAGAGCAAGGAATATACATACATTCACTATTTTAGTATTTTCCCCATTTAGCAAGTGCAAGGCAAAGGCCCTTTTACTGACTCTTGAACCAAAAAAGAGTAAATGGCTTAAGCCATGCAGAGAAAGAAATCAACCCACCGAGAATTTCAGGGGTTTTCGGGGATCAGGGCAACTGAAAAATGACTTTTTGTGACCGCCAGCCAAAACAAAAACAAAAGCACCACGCCGGAGGTTTGGCGAAACAGCCCCGGCCACCGAAGGCATACTTGTCCCTCCCTTTTGCCCAACCGTCCCGGTCGCATCTATCACATGCTGAGGGGCATTCCCGGGGTCCGCTTAGGTCATACTCCGACTTTCGTGGACCCCATCTGGCCTTAAAAACTCGCATGCAATCCAAGTCCCAAGTATATGCTAGCAACCTCTCCACGGACCAGCTGAGCGCATACTCAGACTTGTAGTTTGCGGAGTGAATATGGCCTTGATTGCGCTCAGATTCATCCAGCAAAGTCGCATACGCTAGCAACCTTTTTTGTCCATCCCCGACGTCCTAACAGTCACGAGGACGGTCCTACATCAAGGGAGAGCCGCAGGCAAAGTAACGTCGTCCTCTGGAACAAATCTCGCCTTATCTAAGGATGTCCAGGACATCTCTCCTTAACTGCACTCTAATACGTGCAGGTTAGTCCACTAGAAAAGCTACTCAACCTCTCCCTCCCCCAACCCTGGACGCCCCGACTGTCACAAGGAGGGGCATACGCGGTGCCAACCAACACTGCACTGTCCATCTCCTGGCTCATTTTGTGTTTGTGAATCCTCGAGGAGGCATGTTAGTCCACTAGAAAAGCTACCCAACCTCTCCCTCACCCAACCCTGGATACCCCGACTGTCACATGGAGGGGCATACGCGCTGCCAACCAACACAGCACTTCCCATCTGCTCGCTCCTTTCTTTTCATGGATCCTCAAGGAGGCGCGGCTGCACCTCAACTTAGAGAAATCTGAGTTCAGGAAGAGCAGCATCGTCTATCTTCGACAGCGTCATCAACCTCGGTCGCCTAGAGCCCGAGGCAACCAAGGTTGAGGTCATACGCAAGTGGCCTCAACCGGCGAATGCATGAGAACTGAGTTCCTTTCTCGGTTTGGCTTCATATTACTGCAAGTTCGAACGCAAATTCTCTATCATTGCTCACCCCCTCTCGAGACTAACCAATAAGAATGTCGCTCATGTGTGGTGTGAGAAATGTCAAACTGCACTTACATATAGTATCATCCAGATAAAGCGACCATATGCTCACCCGAACCAACCAACCGGATTGGAATCTAAAATCCGTGTTGTTGATGCTTTGTTTCGTTCGTCCTCAGTTTTTTATTTGCCTTCTGAGCTCTTACGTCCTCCTAAGGAAACTGAAGGAGCATCTGGTCGAGCATATTGCCAAGGAGACGGACCTCAGTCCCATCCAGAGCAGATCAAGGCTGACCCCAGTAGTCGGCCCGATTTTGACAAGTGTGAGGGTCTCCTATTCCGATGTGCTCACACCAGCCTTGTGAGCATCCTTTTTCTTCCTTCTTATGTAAAGCCCAGGTTGTTGTAGAGGCCGGGTATCGACCCAGGTGGGTACTGTCATTGGAGCGCCGGAGGGAGACTTCCCAGTACGCAACCTGAGCATCCTCAATCCTATTGCGATGGCACCAACGATCGAGGGTCAGCATGACACAATCAAGTTCGCCAACAAACAGCGCAAATCGGCACCATTCGAAGTGGATAGTTATGTCTGGGTCAAAATGTCCAAGTTTTCAAAAGAAGAGGCAGAGTGCGGCACGGCGACTCTTCACAGTGGACAAGATGCATTTGCGCTTATGAAAGATATTATTGTATCGGGACTATCCAAGCTTCAGATACATTTAGCATGTTGTGCAGTGTATCTGGTCAAGCCCTATGTCCTTCAGATACATTTAGCATGTTGTGCAGTGTATCTGGTCAAGCCCTATGTCCCTGAATCCACACATTGCGCCACTTCGATCTGGCTTGACCAGACGGGCTTGCTACCATCTTCTCGTGAAGACAGCTCAGCACAATCCTGACCTCATCGGGTCAGAAAAGTAAGCTGCGTGCATTAACGACTAGAGGCATGACCAGGTGGCCTTGCTACCTTCCTCCAGCAAACACAACTCAAGCTATCCCGACCCGCTCGCTCAGAAAGGTGGCTTGTATGTATTCAAGCCCGGGCAAACACAACTCAGCCCTATCACGACCCGATCGGTCAGAAAGATGGCTTGCATGTATTCAAGCCCGGGGTGCAGCTCAGCATGATCCTGACCGTATCCAGTCAGAAAAGTAAGCTGTGTGCATTAACGACTAGAGGCATGACCAGGTGGCCTTGCTACCTTCCTCCAGCAAACACAACTCAGGGCCCAACCCGACCCACTCGCTCAGAAAGGTGGCTTGTATGTATTCAAGCCCGGGCAAACACAACTAAGCCCTTTCACGACCCGATCGCTGAGAAAGATGGCTTGCATGTATTCAAGCCCGGGGTGCTTTGTATTCGGGGGAAGGCGGTAGTGGGAACACTTACCTGATCCGGTCCGACTCACATGGCCACCATCTTCCCCCGAATGCATGCAACGCA